GCGAACCACTCCAGTGAGAGTTGAAAGTCATAGCTCGATGACACCAACAGGACCACATCATCTGCAAAGAGCATAGATGGAATCCTGAGGCCTCTGAACTGGACTCTTTCCACCTCCTGGCTGCACCGAGAAATTCTGTCCATAAAAGTTATGAACAGAATCTGTGACAATGGGCAGCCCTGGTGGAGTCCAACTCCCACCCTGAAGGAGTCTGACTTACTGCCGGCAATGTGAACCAAACTCTCACACCGCTTGTATAAAAACCCAACAGCCTGTAACAACAGGCCCCCAATCCCATCCTTACGGAGCACCCCCCCCCCCCACCACCACCACCACCACAGTGCACCCTGAGGAACATGATCAAAAGCCGTCTCCAAGTCCACAGAATACATTCAATCAACCTTTATTTCTACAGGTAAATCCCATTGAGCCTCAAGGACTCATTTACAAGAGAGACCTGATTTCAACAAAGAGTGATGACAACAATGACAACAATAAACAGCCACAAAAAGTCATACAATTTTATCTTGTTTTTTTTTTTCCAACAAATAGAATGGCTAAAAAAAAAAAAAAAAAAGTAAAAAGAAAAGAAAAGCAACAAAAAACAGCTAGATTCTAAGGCGAATGTAGAAAACTAAAAACAGGAACATGTCTGCATTGGTCCCTGCCAGGAGTCCAACAGATTCTTAAAGCCACTTAGAGAGGTCAAGGTCGAGAGCTTCAAATCTTTTTGTAAGATATTCCAGGAAACAGGAGCGGAGTAGAAGGTCCTTTTGCCTAGTTCAGTCCTCATTGAGGGAACACTGCAGGTAATAATGTCCTGAGAGCGCACGCCGTAGCTGCACTCACGCAGAGACATGTAGGAGGAGATGTATGAAGGCAGCAGACCAAGAAGTGATTTAAAGATGAAAAAGTACCAGTGAGAGAGTCTGCGTGAAGTTAATGATGTCCAGTTAACCAGTGAATACAGGGTGCAGTGGTGGGTACGATAATCACAGCCAGTTATGAATCTTAGTGCACCATGATAGACAGCATCCAACATCTGCAGGGTTCTTGTAGGAGCGTTCATGTAAATAATGTCACCGTAATCAATGGAGGGAAGGAAAGTCCCAGATACAAGGCGTTTTCTAGCATTCAGAGTTAGACAGGATCTGTTTCTGAAAAAGAAACCCAGTTTAACTTTCAGTTTCTTTACCAAGTTTTCCACATGGAGCTTAAAAGAGAGATGTGAGTCGACCAAGATACCCAAATATTTATAGGAATCAACAAACTCAATGGGGACACCATTTGAGGATGAGACCAGAGGAAGAAATGCTGGGACCAACTTCCTTCTTGAAAAAAGCATCCCTTTGGTTTTGTCGGCATTTAGGACAAGTTTGAGGCGGAACAAATCTGTTTGGATGATGTTGAATGCAGATTTCAAAAGCTGGAAAGCCTTAGCAACAGTTTTAGCTCGGCAATAAACAACTGTGTCATCAGCATAGAAATGTAAGGATGCATTAGGGATGTTTTTACCTACATTATTTATGTAGATTGTAAAGAGGGTGGGTCCTAAGACTGAGCCTTGTGGTACACCATTGTTGACTGTTAAATAACTGGAGAAAGTACCATTATGTTGAACACATTGCCTCCGGTCTGAGAGATAGAGAACCAACCAATGGTGTGTTCTGAGAAACCAATTTCTGAGAGTTTATGACACAAGATGTTCTGATCCACAGTGTCAAAAGCTTTAGACAGGTCTAAGAAAAGTGCAGCACAATAATCTTTAGCATCCAGTGCTTCAACAACGTCATTAAGAACCTTCAGTGAAGCAGTGGTTGTGCTGTGTTGTTTCCTGAAACCAGATTGATGTGGAGGTAAGATGTTAAATGAGTCCAGGTAATTTTTGATTTGAGAGTTTATCAGTTTTTCTAGAACCTTGGCTAAAATGCAGAGTTTAGAGATTGGTCGATAGTTGTTCAGTGATGTGGGGTCACCTCCCTTCAGCAAAGGAAGAACAAAGGCTGTTTTCTAAGTGTCTGGGATGGAGTTTTGTCTTATGGAGAGATTGAAGATGTGGGTCACAGGGACTGTGATGATATGAGCAGCCAGCCTTAAGAAATAAGGTGGAAGTTCATCTGGACCTGCAGATTTTTTAGGATCAAGATCTTTTAACAGTTTATTGACCTCACTGACTGAGAATGGAGAAAAAGAGAAGGTGTGATTAACTGAGGATTGACTTCTAGGCATGTTGACTGGAAGGGCAAACTCCCATTCCCAGTGAGGACTCTAGTGAGGGTAAAGAGCTGGTCCAGTGTTCCACAACCAGGCAACCCACATTGTTCTCCTGGATCAGAGGTTTGACCAACGATTGGACTCGTTTCTCCAGTACCCCAGACTGGACCATACCAGGTGTATCCAGTATTGTCAGTTCTTGAACATTTGTCCACAACAACCTTCCAGAAGCAGTGATCATTACATAAACAGCTGAACTTGTAACTCTTAAACCTTAAAGTTAAAAACAACACAAATCAAACACATCTTTGCAATGAGTACTTTATTGTTTGTTTTTGTATAAAACCATTTTTTGTCCATTTTAGGCAACAGTTAGCATGAGAGCAGTTCTCACAGCGTTTTTAGATGAAACGTTTCAGTCTTCTCGACAATCACACACCCTTTCACACAGAAGACACACAATCACAAAGAGTACTAGAGTTCATGTTGGAGCAGTGGTCTCAAACCTAAAATCTGTTGGTAGAACAGCCGAGGACAGAAAGCTCAACAACACGCAGCTGGTAATTATCGTCACTTCAGAGCAAGGCGAGTCACACGAACACAAAGAGACACAATAAATGTGCAGCCTCACAACAACTACAGCCGGCTGCTTTGTTACAGTCTGGTGGAGGACAGCATCCTTTCATTAGGTTTGAAACCACTGCCTTGTTGCAGCTCTTAATCTGGATTATATTCAGACAAGTTCAAACATAAAAAAAGGCTAAACAAAATCGTCTGACAACTTCTACACAGCAGCACATCCTGCCAACAAAACAAAGGACTGATTTTGTGTAAGAAGCGTCGGCTCACTTCCTCTGATGGATATTCATCAGACACAGCTTGGAACAAACATTTAGAGAGAGTTTACAGACTGGTGCACAGAGCGGCTCGTTCTGTAACCACGGCAGGGCGGGCGAGAAACACCACCAGGAAATGATGCCTCCTGATTTCTGCTAAATAAACTTTACCTGTAACGTTTGTAACATGAGCACCTTGCAGGCGTAAAGTGTGTACTGTTGCTAAAACAGCCTAATAAAGCACACGTGCATGCACACAGAACCACACACCCTTCTCTGACATAGACACGAGTGTATACACAACACGATCCACACGCACAAAGTCCGGTGGTTAAAGTTTGATCCAGGAACAGCTAACATCACATTGTTTAATGGACACGTCCTTCTGATCCGGTTTGTCTTTTAATATTTCATTTGACTCGATTCTGAATCAGCTCTTCTTTACACATGGATTCATTTCAAAAAGGATGAGGAAACTGTTCTGGTCATCCTGACATGATGACGGATGTTGCAGCTGGGCCTGTCGCGATAAACAATAAATCAATTAATCGCATGATAAATGAAAATTATCAACCTCATTTTCATTTATCGGCTTTATCGTTTCTTTGTGTCTCCGTCCAAAATTGTGTTTTTGGATCGTTAAAAGCAGCTAAGCTACGAGCTAAGCTACGAGCTAAGCTACGAGCTAAGCTACGAGCTAAGCTAACAGGCTGACCTCGGGGGGGAAAAAAACCTCCGTCTTGTCGAAGCTCCAAACTTCCCAGTTAAAACCCGTGTCTTCGTCTAAAAAGTTTTTCTCTGCAAAAACAAGCCGAGAACTTGTTTACTGATTTTTTAAATAAAAATTGTGTGGCGAATGCTCAAACCACACCGAGCGTCCACCAGTTTGAGAACTGAAAAAAGGAGACAGCACATGTCAAGTCAAGGGGCCTCCCTCCCATTTTTCTTAAAGAGACACTCGCTTGTTCCCTCACTATCCATCCTTCGGTTTAAATGGTCTTACACTGCCATCCAGTGGTCAAAAGAATGTACTATTATTGTCAAATTTCAAACAATATTATAATTTATCTCAATAATTTCTGACACAATTAATCGCCCAGCAAAATCAGTTATCGTGACAGGCCTAATAAACATTTTTCATAAAAAGGACTGCGAGCGTTCTAACTTTAAAACCAACGACATCTAACGCACAAAAGACGCACTGATAAAAGAAACAATGTCGGCTCTGTACGAGGAGCCTTTTAGTGTTTGACAGGTTGACTGTGTGATCAGCCCACGGTGACTCAGAGCAACTAAGGCTACTGCTAACCTGCTGCTGTTAGTTTTTACCCTCACGTCTCGATGCAGCAGAGTCACAACACTCGCTGCCTTCAACTCACAACGTGCACAGCTCAAAAACAAGACAAACAAAAAGCAGCTCTCTTGCACTTTGCAATGCATATACAGTACATTAAAAACAAGTATTTCCAGGATTATTCAGTCAGTTTTTAGCAACGGATGCTTTCAGAGGCCTTCATTTGGTGTGACCGCAGCACGAGGTGTTTAAAGACGCCGGCATGTCGCGCTTCGTGCCCAGTGATGGCCCCATGCTTCAACCAAAGGCTCAGGTTCATCGAGTGTTTGTGTTTGCTGCGGGGAATAAACAAAGCTAATCCTAATCGACTCCTACATACAAGTGTTATTATGATTTCCCCATTAAGGCTGCATCTATCACCCCCAGCTAAATGACCCACCATGGTGTCTTTTAACAACAGCATTCATTTTAGTTTGTGTGTGAGCTTTTAGCATCTCTCCTCTCTGTGTATAATACTCATTCTGCACACAGTGAGACTCACTACAAGAGATTACAAGCTGCAGTCATTCTTCATGAGAGCAGTAATAAACATGGAATATGACATTTATTCATCTTAGATGAAGCTATTGTGCAAAACTTCTGCAGAGAAGCTAACGCTAAGCTTCAGGAGGCAGTGGATGTTTCTCTGAGAAGGACGTCTCTTGGCTTTGCTCTGTGGGGACGTTTTGCTGAGGACTGGGGGGTCTCTCCTCCACCGCAGCTGCAGACTCCTCTGAATGCACAATCATGCTGGGCAAACATCGTCTGCTGTTGTTTTCATGCTGATCATCCTTCATCTGCTCCTCTGCTTCTTGTTTCCTCTTTCCTAACTCAGTTCCTGCTGCGTGCTGTGACTGCTGGTCTTCTTCACGTCCCTCGGCTCCCGGCAGCGTCTCGAACGCTCCGGGCTCTATAGGGCTGAGCTGATAGTAGAGCAGAGACGTGGAGTCCTTGAGGAGCTCAGAGGGGCTCTCCTCCTGGTTGTCAGAGATGCACAGCACTGTGGTCCCTGTAGGGAAAGGCCCCTGCAGGAGGATCTGATTCACACCTGGCACCTCTTCCTGCTCAGGTAGTGCCCCTCCCAAAGCACGGGGTAGGAGACAGAGAGGCTGCTCTGTGATCCCACCAGCATCCAGCTCCTGCTGCACCGCCTCCCCCTCAGCCTCCTCTCTTTCCCTCCTCTCCTGCTCCTCTGCACTCTGCAGGTGCAGCACAGCTGCCTCGTTCTCTCGCTCCAGGACGTCCTGCTCGGCCATGAGATCCTGAACCTCCTCAACCGACTGCGCCTCGCTCTCCTCCAGCTCAGAGTCCAAGCCGATGCCTGAGGAAAGGGTTGGGGAGGTGGGGCAAGTGGAGGAGGGCGAGGACAGGTCTGATTCAGCAAAGTGCTCCCCAGGTCCTTGGATCTGAATCCTCCTTTTCTCCACATCCAGCTTCATTATGGTGTGCAGGTAATGAGTTCTGACGCGGAGGGGGTTGAACTCGATGCGGCCTGCGACGTTGCCGCAGCCATCCCTCGAGCAGCCGCAAGGAAAGGACATCCGGTCCACCTGGAGCACAAGGCACAGGGAATCAGAGTTCACTAACAATAAACATTTCAAAGTTTATCTTGACAGACGACACATAAAGCACGGAGATCAAGCAGAAAGGTACAACCAAAAGATACTGTGGAAGAAAAATCAGGCTTCTGTTGTTAAAATAATTAGCCAATAAATTTAAATGATTATTGTATTTTCCAGCAAACAAGTTGAAGTTTTGCGTAGATTTGTCAGTCCTGCGACTCATAATATTTTTTTCCATATTCATAGCACAGTTATTGACTGACGCTTTAAATGTTCATGCATACTGACATGAACCAGAGTAAACATCACCATTTGCAGCCGACAGAGGCGCGAGAGGCCCTCCAGACTTTTGACTACAGGCAGGTGTGTTGCTCCTGTACCGTTACCCCCACCGCCCCCGCCAAACACTGACCATTAAAGTGCATTTATTTAAGGGAAAAGTTCAACTGAGACACACCTTTGCTATAATGTCGAGCAAACAAATAATTGTTTTTAAGTGTTAATCTTGTCGAAGAACTGCAACAGCGAGTCCTCCAGTGAGCGCCAATAGATTTTTACGACACCGGCCCACGTTTCCCGGGGGTCGGAGGTGACGCATAATAAACGTGACTTATACGCCGAAGTGACTTATATATGATTTTTCCTCTTCATGATGCTTTTTTTGACTTATCCGCCAGAAAATACAGCACTTAAAAACAGATTATTAGCTCAGGTTTTTTAAATAATATTAACTTGCAAAGGTGACAAAGTAGCTCAGGCAAAGTACAAGTCAGCAAGCCATAAAACAAAGACAATTACCAGCTTATTGTTGTATTTACGGTAGTTTCACGTGACAAAAAAACACTCAAAGTCTCTGCATGAAGTGAAAAATAAGTTTGGCATGTTTCCCATTAAAAAAAAAAACTGCAACAGCACATAAATATTAATCAGAAACTGAGCTGCAGTGAAAAGGTAACGAGTAAAAACTTGTTTTTAAAGGAATTCTAACAATAAGTGACGTATCCAAAAAAGTTCAATCTGGTCCTCTGGACATTCAAAAAAACAAAAAACAAAACAAAGCAAAAAAATATAGAAACTATAGAAACTTGCTTTTTTTTGTTTTTTTGAATGTCCAGAGGACCAGATTGAACTTTTTTGGATTTTTCTACCTGGATTATTGAGCATGCATCAGGATAATAAGTGACGTAGCAGCCCAGAGTCCCTTGTTCAAATCTGTACAGAAACAAATGAACTAAAGTTCTCAACCTCTGTTTTCTGAGTCTCTATATTAAAAACTGTCCCCACTTTTGTGTAAAAATAGTTTGTTTTTCCATTACATAATAAAAATAATCTGTGCCCATTCATTTCTGAGGTCAGGCAGTGATGGACAGAAGGTCTGACGTGCGTTCTCTGTCGTCGTTCATCCCAAACGTGCTCAGTGGTGTTGAGGTCAGGACTGAGAGCGGGTCAGTCAAGTTCTTCCACACCAAACTCATCAAACCGTGGTTTCATCATTTCCCATCATTCAATGGGTTATGTTGTGGTAAAAAAAAAAAGGTCTTCTACAAAGTTGGACGCATTACTTTGTCCAAAATGTCTTGAAGCGTTGAAGCGTTAGAGGTCAGTGCTCCAGCTCAAACCTGGACAGAAACACCTGAATTCAACAGGTGAGAGGTGTGGCCACGCACTTTGGTCCATGTAGTTTCTCCTGGGAGATGAATGTCCTTTGTACACTGTCTATATTGATAAATAAAATAAAATGCAGACAAAACCATACGTGTTTATTTCACTACATACCAGATATATATAGAACATGTCTAAAGAGCTAAATATATTGTACACATTTTTAATTTAAGTTTTAAAATCTGTCAACAGTTTGCACAGGTACAAAATGTCCATCGTACAAATAGACATCAGCACAGTTGGGCCATCACGGTGCAATTCAAGTATTATAGAGATATAATTATGCTGATTAATACAGTTAATGGACTAATCTCATCCTCCGAGAAGTTAAAAGTGAACTCTCATTGAAATGTGTTAGTGTTTGTTCTCATCACAAAACTGAGCTGTGTCTAAAACCTTTTAAAAAGTTCAAATCAGACTAGTCTTTAACATATTTTGACCCGTAGCGGCAGGAACGTGTGTTGGAGACCTTATCAATGAATCTGCTGTATTCAACAATCACAGACATCAAAGCAGCACCGTCAACATGAACTCTAAACATCTGTCCCCTCTGCTCCACTCCAAGCTACAAACCCTGTCTTCACTAAGACTAATGAAAAGCTCTCCTACGTGACCTTCTGTAAAAATGACCAAGAACTCCATGTTTTCCTCAGTGCACCAGTGAGCAGGTCTTACCTGGCACTTAATTCCAGCCTGGCTGCAGCCACAGTGGCGAGGGTCACAGTACAAGCGACAATCGCAGCCACATTCCTCCCGGGAGAGGCGGATGGCTCTGAGCTCGGCTTTCTCACGTGCGTCTATGCGGGCGATGCCCGAGGATCGCAGCAGGGCCCGGCGACTCTTCGTGGGCAGCGGCTGGAGGAAGAAACAGTCGTCCACCTCCACAGCGTCCACGTCCAGGTCCTCGTCTGAGACGTCGTCCAGAGTCAGCAGGTCTGCCTGAGCGCAGTCCACAGTGCCGTTCCTCGTCAGCTGTTGATGACAATATGAAACTGTGAGCCGAGTTCCTGGTTAAATGTCAAGACCTAAAAGACCCCAGGGTCAGCAGCAGCAGGGGGGTCACATGACCCCAGAAACAGCTTCGTTTGCAGATGATTTTCATATTCAGACACAAATTGTATATTGTTAGCTGTATGAGGATTTACTCTAATACAAGAAAATCTGACAAAAAAATGAATAAATTAAATTTTAAGTTGTTTGTTATTACATTTAAACTTGAAGCCAATAGTTTAATAAGCACAATTTACCAAATTTAAAAAGAGGGATTGGTAAAAGAAAAAACATACGAGGATTATTGTAACTAATAAAGTCTAAAGTCTAATAAGTTTTGTAGACACCATGAAGCTTCACGTTTCCCTCATCCTTTTTTATTTCCTGCATTTTGGGCCTGCAGCAGATTCTAGAGAAAACTTTGACGCTAACGTGTTGAAACAACAAAGATATTATTGGATGTTATTCCAAACGTCTGACTGAGATGACTGATCCTTCAATACGCTCTAGACAGAAATAATGCTTCAGATATTATTGAAGAATAAATCCGATGAAACTGGAAGCGTGACAGAGAGGTGTGCTGTGATGGAGGTCTGCAGAGATTACCATGAACGCACGGAGGTGTCGTGTTTGTAGCCTGGCAACAACTGAGCCGAGAACATCACACACAGCATCAGCAGGTAACACAGCTGAACTCAGCTATCTCCCTGTCGTTTCCTCATCAGAGCAGGAGGTGAAATGTAGATACAGATACAGAAACAAAGATGCAAAGTGATGTATTCCACTGAAACAGACAAACGGGCTGATGAGAATTTGGACACAGAGTAAATGATGCAGCCCGTGAGGATGAGGATGAGCACAGGAGCTTGAGACTTTCTGCTGAAAATCCCCAAACGATAAAACAAATCCCAGTGAGAGACTGGATATAATGGCACGTTTCATGTTTGGCAGTACATAATGTCATGAAATCATTTAGTGAACGTGGAGAACGAGAGCGTCAGTGTGTTGTTGAGACTAAATAAATTAACGTTCCAGATCAGGAGGTTCAACACTACGTCTGCATCAAGACCAGAGCCAGGCTTTGTGATGGTGCCAGGTTGGACTTCTGCTCATTTCCACTTCTGTGACGGCAGCATTAATGCAGACTGGGATTTTACAGGAACATACATGACTCTGTCAACAAGTACATGTAAATGATCGTCTGCAGACCAATCAAAGGAATGCCTGAAGGAAGAGGAGGGCGCAGATCCTGCCTCACCCATCTGTCCTCAGAGTAGAATATGTGAAGAACTTTTAAACTGAAAAATGTGGCATAACCCAGTACTTGTATATATTGTTGTATACTTGATGATATGAAGTGTTGTGAGGATGAATGGTGACATTAAAAGAGGGGGAAAGCTTTCCCTGGTCAATCATTTTTGACATGAACTGGAAGCAGGAATGATTTTTATCTAAAATTCACAAATGAAAAGCAACTGATGGACAAAACTAAACGTTTTGGGTTCATGCAGTGGCTGCACGTGATTCAAGTCAAGTGGTACAAAAACAGAAACATCTGTCTCCAACAACAACAAAAACAAAAAAACTCTTTAAAACACTGATATCGTCTCCCTGCTGTACAGTAGTCCGTCACTACTTCACGGTTCGACTTTCACGGACTCGCTCTTTTGTGGTTTTTAAGCCTACACTGTATCCCCGCTCATAATGACTACATTTCCCAGAAGCCAACAGTGCTCCGCACAGAAGCCCCATTTCTTTTCGCAGAAATACTAGAGGGAAAGTTCTGTAATTCACAGTGACTTCGGCAGCACCCAGCGGATTCGGAGAGCTGCACAGAACCGGACCAGAACCAGAGCAGAACCAGACCCGTCAGTGAACCCAAGAGCTGGTAGCCGACCCACTTGCAGGGGGTCTGGAACGTAACAGCCGCAATAAACGAGGGACTACTGTAACAAATACAAATATTTTTGATGTAAACAAAATGAACACGTGAAACACGACAATTTATTCCTCCTTAATTTGAAATCTGTCGTGTCTGTATCTTTGTAACTTTTAGAGCTCTATGATGGACTTCATCATTTAAGTCAGACTTTTATTTTTAAACTCATTGTACCTGCAAAATAAAATAAAGTTTATTACATTATGTTTAATAAGAGTCACTTAATTGAAAGCATCCGTTGTTAACCTTCTGAAAGTGACGCTGACTCGGATGGAGACAGCTTCGTATATTTCAGGTAAGTTGGGCCCAGTGTGCTCGGTGGTCTTCTACAAGGGGTCACATAGAAACCAGACTGGTAGTACCTAAGTGGTAAGAGCAAAAAATAATCTGATGGATTTATTTCTCGTCATGTTATTTGAAAGACTAATTTCTTTCTTCAGGTGACATTTTTAAAACAACTACCTAGTAGATCTTTAAACAGATCACAGGTTTTGGAACAACAAAGGTCCCACTGGGACATTTTTAGGTCAAAAAGTCACAGAACTAAAACAATTTGTGTAAAGTCTTCAAAGCGAACACTTCAATAAAGGTTTAGTTTTTACTAAAAGTGTAGAAACAATCTGCTTTTTAGGAGCTGCGTCTGAACACTAAAGTAGATTTGAAGTAAGTGAAGGTAGAGGACCCTCTGGTTGGTTCGTCAGGGATTTTAAATGTTTGTAAAGTTAACGACGTGACGCCCTCAGATCCAGCTGACCTTCATCCTGCGGGCGTTGAGCTTCTCCTGGCGCAGGTGCTGGTGCAAGGTGTGCCGGTGGCTGCTCTCCTGCTCGCGTGCGAACTCGCCCAGCGTGTAGTGTCTGATGGAGGAGTGGTGGCGGGCCATGCCCAGCGAGCTGCCCCCCTGACTGGGCACGCTGGTGAAGCCCTGCCTCCGGGGGAAGTAATACACCGTTACCACGTCGAAACGCACCCGCTTCCCCCCCAGCGCCGGCTTCTGCTGTCTGAGGATGGAGGTGGCTGGTGGAGGGATTCAGAGTGACACAAGTAATTCAATAATGTGATGGACTGGGCGTGTTGCATTTCATCGAGTCTCCTCGGCTCGGACTTACGTGTAAACGTGGCGTTGGACGGAGGGTTGAGGCTGTCGCAGCTGTCAGCGCTGTCGCTGCTGGAGATGTCATCGTCGGAGTCCTTAGGTGTGGAGAACAGAGAGCCGCTGTCCACCTCTTCATATCTTCGTTTGAGGCTTAGGGACGAACTTGCCTCCATGGAAACCTGAAGTCTGAGAACACGCAGCAGCACAGGTCGGAAAACACTCTCTCTGCTTTAACGAGAGGAAAGAGAACTGCAATGTTTGTGGTGCTGTGTACAATTTCTTCACTACTTTAGAGGCTAAATGTTCTTCTGACAACGAGTCATTCAAATCCAAGTGTTCCTGTTAGGTCAGTCCTCCATCACCATAGAAACTAAAAAAAAACATGGTGACATCTGTGCAGTCCTGCCTCCTTTCATCTGTATTCCACCTCCATCATTTTCTCTGTCTGCACCCCCCACATCCTCCATCCTGAGCATCTGAGATGCACTTTTGAAATGATCAAGTCTAAAAATGTAACCATGGCAACTGAGCAAGCATGGTTTCTGCAAACAGCCTTGAAGAGATCTCGAGGCATTAACTGCTCCTGGTTAGTTCACAGCGACACGTCACATACTGATCCATACATTAAACTTACACACACACACGAACTAATTCAAATGGTGACTTGATGTACACACCTGCCTTCACTCTTAACACAAAGCAGTCCCATAAGAGCATTTATTAATAAACTTATATCATCTATAAGGATAAAACAGTTTTTAAACAGGTTTACCCTTACAATGAAATAAATATAATAAATAACCGAGTGAGCGGACAATTAAAAATATTGACGTGTTACTATGTTTTTGGTTATAGCTTATAATGAAGTGCAGTATTTACTTAAATAAAAGCTTAAAATGAAAGTCATCTCTCCTGTCTCCATTCAGACAGCTCCTGATGCTAAAGATTTCTGCACAGATGTTCATGTGGACCAGACATAACCCCATGAAGAGAAGACCAGCCCAGCAGGGATGGGTTACCTAAACACAATGACTTCTTATAGTCTAACAGTCTAGTTGCAGCTACCAGGAACTTATTAGGGACCTGCAGCTTGGATGAGGTGTTTGAGCACATGATGGTCACGGCCTGTGCGTGTTGGGGGAGGTTCAACATCATCAGGCAAATGCTGGCTCACCCTGTCTCCATTCAGACAGCTCTCCCCATTTTCTCCTCTCAGCCACACAAAGGCAAAGCTCCCAGTTAGAGACACTTCTTACCTGAGGCAGGAACTGGGACCCTTTAATCCAACACACTCGGAGGTCGTTCCTCTCTCCAACACGAGCTGCACATCAATTTCTCTTTTCACAACCTACGAGACGCTTTTAGTGTCCGAGCCCGACCCAGCGCCGAGCTGGATTCTTGATGACCGTCTCTGTATCTGGTGTTTTATGAGGCTGCTTTGGTTACGAGCTTTTTGTTCTGCTCGGCGGAGTTAGAGAGAGACCCGGAGCTGCCTGTCAGAGGGCGGCGTTCATTTAAACGCTGCATACCTCTCTATTTAAAGGGCAGGAGAGCCGAAGAAAGGGCAGGCGTCATGTGGGCGGTGTACAGGGAGTAAATGTTCACAGCCGAATGTACTATCTGCCTAAAATGAGAGGCTTGAGAGGACTGTAATGGAGGAATCCGCTGACATTTGTTGGTTTTGTCCGGTTTTTTTTTTCCTCTCACCGGGGCGGGTTCGGTCGGCTGGGCTCGCTTCGCCGTCTTCTCGCTATTACTTAAAAAAAATAAAATAAAATAAAGAAAAGAGCCGCGGGTTGGTTCGTGTCGTTCGTTGCTGAATTTGAAACGAGAAGACGCTTTTCCTCCGCGGTCCGCCCCGGCCCCGTTTGTTACAATGTAACAATGGAGGAAGAAATTCTTCCCTGCTTACGTTTATATAGTTGTCGTGACATCACGCGCATGCGCAGCGTCAGGGCATGCTGGGAAATGATGTTTTAAGTGATTTGTCTTTGTTTCTTGTTTTTGTTTTTTTTTTTGTTAAAAAAAAAGCAGATAAACTATAACAAGGACAGTTGTTACAAGGTGATAATGTCAATCTGTCACTGGTACTGACTGACTATCACCAGTTGTTAGTCTCCATGGCAACTAAATGACAGCTCATTAACAACCAAGGGACTGGTGTGAAGGCCATTAAGAGACCGTAAAGCAGGGGTACATAAAAACATTTTAACAGGGTTCCTACACAATTTCTATTTTGAAAATCCATACTTTTCCAGAATTGAACTTTCACAAATTTCTGACAAAACATTTACAAATTTGCCATTATGCAGTGGTGGTATGTTTCAAACACTGAAAAACTATAAAATGTACACAAAATGTTGACAGCAGAGGGTAAAAAGATCCATTTTGTTAGTTTATTGCCTTAATACCAGAGAGTGTTTTCCCCCCCATAAAAAACATGTTAACTCCCATTTATAGTAAAATAAATAAATAAACTAACATAAAGTACTTTGAAGACCGTGCTACCTTGTGACTGAGAAGTTGCATGCTGCATATGAAACATGTGGTTATTAATGTGCACTTATACAGCCACTCATCATTCAAGGTGCTCTTCCTGGAAACACTTTGGGAGTCAGTCTTGCCTAAATGCATAAAAACAGCTCTGAACTGTAAAGCATGTCATCAAAGATCCAGTTATCTCCTGAGGCACGGCAATAAGAAACATGTAAAACTGCACGAGTCCTCTGAATCTTCAATCAAAAACTCAAATATGTTGATGCATAAAGTAATAAACTTATGTTTGGTAAGATACTGTAGATCAAACTGTGCCTGGTTTTTATCCACAATTAGTGCTGAAAATCACTCTGCTACTTTCAACAATTTTTTTTTATATAAAAATTGCATTTAATCTTTCAGAAAACAAGGAACACAGTGTAAAAACACAAATATTTGTCCACACTTACCCTGTAATCAGATTAGAAGAAAACAAACAAACATCTGTCAGTACATTGATAAGTATTTTAATAATGCTGATGAGATGGAGCGAAAACTGATGTCTAAAATATTAGGAATTTGCATGAACAAAAGGCTGAACATTAACTACCGGTAATTTTCACGCAGATCAATGACAGTTATTAGTATTTGGATGTGTTAATGTCCAACTATGAAGAGATACAAGATTTTAGAGAGATTATTAAAAAAATACTGGCAAACATGATTTATTATGAAAAAACCACTTAAAAACAACAAATTACCTAAAAGTGATGAGGAGAAAAATGAGCACAAACATGACTGGTTATAACAAAAAGAAATGGTGTGCTAAATGTGCCGACAGGTGTGGGAAGCACATCGATCAGTCACTGAAACCACAAACATTTGTCAATTTTCAAGATGCTCCTTGAACAATCACATGTGCCAAGATCTTCTTGATACAAACCCCAAAGAGTGTTTTATTTATCCCAACAATGAGTTTCAAGGGAACCACAAGTGATTTGAGGAACAGCTGGTCTCCAGCGAATCGCTTCAATGTCCAGATGTGGACGCTGTTTGTGTGTGTGTGTTAGCCATGATGGGTTTCTTGCAGACTGCCTTTAATTGTGTAAAGCAACCTAACATAAACACAACAAACACATCATGCTGAATTGCAAACGGAGAGTTCAATGAAACTGTCTCATTGTTTATGTTTTTGTTTGTTTGTTTGCGTCACGACAACAAGAAACCAGTAGAAAAGCACAGAGCTTTGGCACACCAGATGCTAAACTGACTACAGCAGCACCCATCGTGCCACTTCCTTGTATTTGAGACACAAGCAACAGAGAACGGGCGAAGGGCCATTGGCAGGACGAAAAGGAGACTGTAACTTCACTATGGTAGCACGACCACTTCCTCTGAAGTAAAACATGGGATGTAGAGTGGAGGAGCCACGGTGATTAGTCCCATGCTCCTCCTAGCTGCCACAGGGGGGTTACCGAGTGTCTCCACATATTCCTAAACCAGCAAGGAGTATGAAGCTCTACAGGGGGAGGCTGCAGCGGGTGGAAACAAGAAAACAAGGACTGGATACTCTTCAGCTGGGTTTTCACTTTAGGATTATATGATAGCCATCACTTGTGTCATCTGAAGAGGAAAAATAACATCAAAAGCAAGAGTTGATGTGGAAAAAACAAGGTTGAAATAACAAATCATTAACAGATGAATTATTTTAAAGTGCCACGCAGAAATACCTTTCATCGTGTCCAACACGAAGCATACTTCATCCTGGAAGTTATGGATCATCTGTTAGAGAGAAAGTAAACGGTAATGACAAGATGGAACCACGCTAGCAATACGTTAAAGATGAAACTTCCTGTAGCCTTGTGTCAGTTCACAACAAGCGGCTGATCTTACCTCGTCACTAACCAGCACATGGATGCCCGTAGGACCCTGTTTAAAGATCTGATGGATCTGTCTGGGGGAGATGTTGAAGAGCTGAGCGAGTTTCTCTGTGAGCTCGACAGCTGTGAGCTCCTCCAGGTAAATAGCATGATACACTGCAGATAAAAATATTTAATGGAGTCAAAAAAGCACAGGATGCATTTTCTTACCAAGAGTAAAAACAGAAACTTTTCATGTCTGGACAATAAATATGAAGCTACAATAGTTGCAGCCATCACCGTGCCCACTACTGCTCCCTGTATTCACTGGTTAACTGGTCATCATTAACTTCACGCAGACTCTCTCACTGGTACATTTTCATTTAAATCACTTCTTGGTCTGTCATCTCCTCCTACATGTCTCTGCGTGAGTGCAGCTACAGCGTGCGCTCTCAGGACATTATTACCTGCAGTGTTCCCTCAGTGAGGACTGAACTAGGCAAAAGGACCTTCTCCTACTCCGCTCGTTTCCTGGAATATCTTGTAAAAAGATCAGACGCTCTCGACCTGGACCTCTCTAAGTGGCTTCAAGCATCTGCTAAGTTCATGGCAAAAACCAATGCAGACATGTTCCTGTTTTTAGTTTTTATATATCTTTAAAATATAGTTGTTTCAGCAGCACGGTGGCGCAACTGGTAGAGCTGCTGCCTCTCAGCGAACAGGTCCCTGGTTCAAACCCCGGTCATGGGGCCTTTCTGGGTGGAGTTTGCATGTTCTCTCCGTGCATGCGTGGGTTTTCTCTGGGTACTCCAGTTTCCTCCCACAGACCAAAAACATGCATGTTAGGCTGATTGGTAACTCTAAATTGCCCCTAGGTGTGAGTGAGAGAGTGAATGGTTGTTTGTCTCTATGTGGCCCTGTGATGGACTTGCGACCTGTCCAGGGTGTACCCCGCCCCTCGCACAGTGATTGCTGGACATGGGCACCAGCGACCCCCGTGACCCAAAATGGAATAAGCGGGTAAAGAAAATGGATGGATGGATGGATAGTTGTTTCATTTTTTAATACAATTTTTCTTCTTTTGTTCTTCTCAGTCTGTATGGTTCCTTTAATGATTGTCTACTGTCGTCATCATTCTTTGTTTAAATCAGGTCTCTCTTGTAAATGAGTCCTGGAGGCTCAAGAGACCAACCTGTATAAATAAAGGCTGAATGAACGTTATCTTAAAACGAAGAACAAATAAATAAAATCTAAATGATTTAAAGAGGCCCAACAGACTGACTGATGTTTCTGCCCATTTCTTGAACATCTTGTGTTTAAGAGAGAGGTCTCCAGGAATCAAAGTCACTTTCATAAAATGACACTTTGGCCTAAAAAATCTGATTCGATGTATTTGCAACCAAATACTGTATATTTAAGGTCTAAACACTAAAGTAACTTATTGTGTTTTAAACAACTTCACAGGTTTTATGATGTTGACGAGCCTGACTCTCCTCGGCAAACGTCCTTTCTAACCTTGATCTGTTCCTTCCTGGAACCATTCATAAACACTTCTGATAAACTGGTCTCTGTTCAGCGAGCACACATGAACCATCAATCCATCAGAATGTTTGAGCCAAAAAATACCAGGAATATTGCTACTAAGACTTTCTCAAAGAGAAGAAATAGTGACTTGGTAGTAATACAATGAGAACATCAAAGTTCATGTTCTATAATCCAAAAAAAATCAAACAAAGTTAAGTCAGGTGGACGGTTTCTTTGTGTTGAAACATCTTGTCTAAAAGACTTGAGTTTGTTGTGGCTCCTCGGACTGATGAAGTCCTTTGGATGAAAGATAAAACGTCTCAACACAAAGAAACCATCCAGAGGACTTGACTTAACTTTGTTGGACTATGGGGACAGTTTTAAGAAATCTTCTTTGCTTAAGAGCTAACAGCACTTTTCTCCCAGCTCTCATAAGTAGATTAAAATTGTTTTGGATTCCCTTTAATTAGACATAAATACAGAAATTACTGCATCCAAATTACATTGTCAAAACACGAAAACACATAATTTAATGATGTTGTGACTAGGGCTTTAACAGACTACTCGAGTAATCTACACTTCGATTCCTAGGACATCTATCGAGTTTTTAAATTTCACGTTGAGTATTCGTAGTGACGTCATTCCGCCGCCGTTACGTCATTGTGTCACGTGTCACGTGATCCGCACCGGGCGTGGGCTACAAAATGGATTCCTCCAAGCAGACAGATGGCACAACGCAGGCCCAGCAAACAGGTAGAAATACATAAACAGTCTGGAAATATTTCACTAAAGATGAACCTTCTGGTTCAACTACCGCAAGGAAACAGAAAATTAATCAACTTCCTGACTGTTTGGAGCTCGTTGCAAACCAGTGTTACACCATATTCTGTGACCACCGTATATTGTGACCGTAGGGGGCCGTGTTGCATGCACTGTTGCAGGTCACAGAATAGTGTGTAACACTGGGTCCAATCGCCGAACCAGAACCAGCTTCCTCTGACCTTGTTTCACAAACAAAAAGCAAAAAATATTAATCTCTAAAACTAAACTTAATGTGCATCACAGCTGGTGGCTGGTGGTGGTGCGGGGTGGTCGTCAGCCCCACAGTTTTTAGTTTCGTTTTTTACATGCCACACGTTTCTTTCACTTTTGCAGTTTCATAATAACTAATAGTTTTTGTTTTCCTGAGACTTATATGATAAATGGTAGGAGCATAAATATATGCTCCCAATGTTTTGTTGGTCTTTATTTTGTAAATAATGACGTTTTTTTGTGGTTTTATTTATTTTATTTATTTATTTTTGCATCTTTAGAGCCTATGACGTCATCAAGTACACAAGTTCTACTCGAGTTTTATTATGTTAATGTCGAGTTTAAAAATGATGTAGTCGTTCAATCCCTTGTTGTGACAATCTTCTACTTCTTTCATCTTTTCCCTCTTCAAGGGTCTCCACAGTGAGTCATCCTCCTCCATCTCTGTCCTCTGCATCCTCTGTCCTCACACCAACTACCTTCATGTCCTCTCTAACTGTATCCATATATCTCCTCTTTGTCTTTTTCCTGGCAGCTGCATTTATAACATCCTTCTACCAATATACCCACTGTCCCTCCTCTGGACATGTCCAAACCACTGTCCCTCCTCTGGACATGTCCAAACCACCTCAGTCTGACTTCTCTAACTTCAGTGTTTCCCCTACCATTATCCAAGGAGGGCACCCTGCCCTGTCAATAGAACCAAGCGCCCCGCCTACCAAATCCCCCCATCGCAGTGTGAGTTGCAGGTGTCCCTACATTTAGAGTTGGTACCCTCAGTCCTACAACCTTGACTTTCCTCTGTCTCCTGGCATGTTTTTAACTATCAGTAGCACAAATTACAATGGCATCTTGTTTAACAGCACCGGTGTCCCTCAATGTTGATCCGGGCCTCGATGATCCAGTATGGTGTCGTTCGGACAAATTCATATAATTCTTTTGGTAAAAGTGTTTTAAGCCAGATACCCTTCCTGATGCAACCCTTACCATTTACCTGGGAGTCAAACCGGATCAAGACTGGCTGGCTGGTTTAACGCTGGGACAATCAGATCCTCCTAAAACTAATTCATATCATTTCCTGACCCGTTCATTATCATATTTTATTTCAAAGTATTATTCATGTGTTTTTATTAAAATAGGAATTTAGATGCACTGACCAAAAAAAGTATTGGCTGCAGCATCTCCATTCTCATGTTTTGATTGGTGCTCCCGGACCTGCTGAGACTCCTGGCAAACATAGATGGTCAACCTCGGACGAATCACCCTGCATCAACACACATATTACAACAGTTAAATAAAAAAAGTTACTTGAAATTCTTTCATTTTTGTTGGATATTATAAGGTGGAAAAACTAGTTTAAGAAATAAATTAATCTGACATGACCCACCGTCCTTTTAGTGCATTGAAGAGTCGTATACCATCTGCTGGACCACAGATCTGAATAACATCCTCTCTGGTCAACTTCAACATGTCTGCACCTGGTGGGAAAAGTATTTGTTTTCATATAGAAAAAATTTTCATTCATTCATTCAACCTTTATTTAGACAGGTAAATCCCATTGAGCCTCGAGGACTCATTTACAAGAGAGACCTGATTTCAACAAAGAAAGAAAGAAAAGTAACAAAAAACAGCTAGATTATAAGGCGAATGTAGAAAACTAAAAACAGGAACATGTCGGCATTGGTCCCTGCCAGGAGTCCAAAAGATTCTTAAAGCCACTTAGAGAGGTCAAGGTCGAGAGCTTCAAATCAATCAATCAATCAATCAATCAACCAATCAATCAATCAACCAACAGTATCTATCTATATCTATATAGATATCTATACATATATATACTGTATCTATATATATATATATATATATATATATATATATATATATATATATAGTGTGACAGTATATATATATAAATATATATCAAGTCATTAAATTGATTCTTCCTGTAGTTTCTTTGTTTCATAATAAACTTGGGAGTAAAATTTCCAGATTTCCAAATTTTTGCTACCCCCGTGACCTGAACCCAGATAAGCGAATGAAAATGGATGGATGGATGGATGGATAAAATTTCCAGAAAGTATCCAACAAGGTTGAGTCAGATCCTCTGTACAGGTTCTTCTTCATTCAAACGTATTCCCATGAAGGACAAAGTGATGATGTGAGCAGACCTGCGGGCCAGAGGTCACTCTTTCAGGGATGAAGATGTTCACAGCCATGATAGAGAGGAACGATGGCCTGAGAGAGGAGTAAAGGAGGCCATCTTTGTGAAGAGAACCTGTCCATCATTAAACAGGGGTGGAGGCCTCTGTGTCCAACTGCCCCCGCCCCCCCTAATGCTATTATTGCTAGTATCACTCAGCCTTCTGTAAATAGCAAGCAACCATCAGGGCAGTAACGATTGGTCGTTAAGACTGATGGTCCTCCTTTATCAAGTGAACAGCTAGTTCTGGCTGTCACCAGCAAACTGGTTGATCCACTGTGAGAAGGTGCTGCTTAACGACCTTATGCCTGGGGGCACTAGAAATTATTATGGGTACAACTTCCTGTCAGACACAGGAAGTAAGCGGACCACAGACCGTTTTTCTTTTTTTTTTTTTAAGTAATTTGCATTCAGTTTAGCAGATAAAATGCAGTTTTTGTTTTGTTCACATTTATTTAATAACCATAAAGTTTACTAAAATAGCCGTGCTGAGTTCAGGTACCTGTTGTGTTCACGGCTGCACGAACAACCAGACCAAACTAAATCAGTGGCTACAACAATAATAGCTACGTTTACATGGACATAAGTAATCGGATTAAACAACCATTCAGAAAAAAAATGTGTCATGTAAACGCCCCATTCAGATTATTCTTTGTTGATTCTGCTCAATCTGAAAGAATTTGTAATCAGAATGAGACGGATGGTTTATGCAGATTCATAATCCAAACGGTGCGCATGTAAACACTTAATCTGATTATTTTATTCAGATTGTGGAAAACTGACTTGACTGTGCATGTGCGACCTGTCAACCTCACGTATTTCCGCCTGGCTAATACTAATAATATTAGCATGTAGCGGAAGCAAAACTGGTCGGTGAGCGACACAACATTTCTACTACAAACTTTGAAAGATCTCAAAATGATCTGTATTACCTGCAGCTCAGGTAGGAGATGGAAAACACTGTTTTTCACAGGAACTCCTTTTTTGGGGGTCCATTTTCAAAACAGTAGCTATGTTTACATGCGCAAAATTCTTTGATCGGATTGAAATGTATTCTGATAAAATAATCCAACTGTATTGTTTACATGGGCACAATCCGTTCACGACGAGCGTTTACATGCAGAGGGCTTTTATTCTGAACACAAGTACTGACATGCGCAGAGTGGTAAACTCTCCTTAAAAAAAACACAGAGGAAGAAGTTGTTCTTTTTCCGGTTTACTTCCGGGATGAACGTAAACAAACCTGAACGCACAAAATGGACCCGCGACAGGTTTTAATGATGGTGGAGACGTCACTGCACTCCCTGACTACAGATAAGGAATCAAGAAGAATGTGGCTGAAAAATGTGAACTTGAAGAGACCACCCAAAATGTTGTATATGAGCTCATTTCACTTGTTGACAAACAGCAGACGGAGGAAAACCTGCATCCTACTTTGTGTCTGGACTACAATGAACCACTGGAGAAGAGACGCTGGATCCTCAGAAGGATTGAAAACAGTGTGACAAGAACATCAGATATAAGTCAAGTGTATGGAGGACACAGCATTATAGTATTTGTTCATCTTCAGTTTTATGATTTTCTCTGCAGTTAACCCAAGCTCAGTGATGGAGGACTTTAAGGCTTTGGCTGGACTCTGTGTCTGCTTTAAGGTAAATAAAAGTGTGTCCCACTTCTTAACAAAACGTGACCGACCTTATTGCTGTAGATACTGATACATCTCAGAGCTTTTCAGGTTGTTCATCACTTCACTGTCGGAAGAACTGAGTCAGTAAAGTAGCTAAATATGCTAGTAGATGTAATCTGCAGCCGCTTCTTCAGGTCGTCCTCCATCCCTCGTCTGCAGATTATATTGTCTGTTGGAGCTCTGACAGGTGGTGTTCCTACATGTTTAAATTAAATCCACCACGCTCAGACAAACTACATTAGCTCGTACTGTTCAAACATAAACAAATGATGGTTCTGGTCCATGTAGGAAGTCGCACCCATAATTCACGTAAGGCAGGAATAAGGTGGATAAGACTGAGTTTGTTGCAGCTCCTCAGACTGAAGAAGTAGTCTGGATAAAAGATGAAACATTTCAACAAAGAAGACTCCGTCCAGAGACCTTACTCCACCTGGTTAGATTTATCTACCTGGATTAATGAGCATCGTCAGAATGTAAGCTCGTTTCTGACAAGATGATACATTCAGGAAAAAAACAGGTTTTGCAGAAAATGCATTCTTTTTCCTTTACCAGAGAAGTTGGTGAAGAGACGACAGAAAGGCGAGAAGCGATTTCTGAGAAGCCACTGCTGAGCGTCCTGCGGTGTCGTTGTGGGTAACAAGTTCTGAGGAACAAATGAAGACAAAATTATAAAACTCATGTAAAAACTGGCAGACCTAAACATTAAAACAGTTTGTTACACTACTAACAAAACTAGTTCATCAGCACAAAGTTTAAAAAAAGACAAAGTGAAAAGCAAACTGACAACAAGAGCACTGCAAACGGCTCATTATAGACCCATCAACAAACTTATACAGAACTACAGCAATCAATAGATCTGGACAAGTAGACCTTTTTTAACATTCAACTTTGATTATGATCTTGACATTGAAGCTGGGGTGATGAAAATATATGCAAAACTTCATCTAGTGATGATGCATATGTGCATCAAGTTTCATTAAATTACCTTGAGCTGATACTGGAGGCAGACAATGTGCAATATGTTTAATTGTGATTTATTTTTTTAGGTTAACTAATTTAACAACTCCATTTTGTATTCAACTTCAACTTCATGTAGATTTCGATCATTTCCGTTTATTTAAATTTTCACGATGTGCAGATCAATTTTCTGGTAAACGCAGGTTGAACATCCATATTTCAGCTTTTGCATTTGTGTTATATTCATGTAGTGGTCTAATAAAACACTATAAAACACAACATGCACTTGAACTTACATCTACCACCGGAACAACAGGCTCAGGCTGGTGGTTTGGTGATCCGTTTCTAGAAAAGACAGAAAAAAGCCACTTGAGAGAAAAGAATAAAGAAATCCAGACTGGGAATAAATCATGTGTTTTACATTTCTGCATTCAAGCAGAATCATTTACAGAGACTGACAGAAAGTGTGAGACCGTCGTACCCTTCAGCGACTGGAAAGCTGCTGTGCGTGTTATTGAAGCCAGGAGAAGGAGAGTTGTTGACATACGTAACCTCAGGCCAAGGCGAGCACTGAAACAGACCCAACACTTCTGTTAGTGTGCCATCTGAAGAAAATCACAAACATTTACATGGCTTCAGCTCTCCTTGAAATTTTAGTCATTCATTTATTTATTCACATTTTTCACTTCTTTTTGTTGATGGGCCATTCACTACATGACTACAGAACAACGTGCTGTTATCAAAACTGTTTAAAAATATCTTTACAACAGTTCTAATAATCCTCTTGATTTTAAATATGGCATTTAAGATTTACGTATTTCCACATACAGTAGTCCCTCGCTACTTTGCGGTTCGTTTGGCACGGACTCTCTCTATTGCGGTTTTTCAAAATAAGATTGGACATGACACACAATTGGCTGATTGAAAGATGAGTCGCATGACTGGCATGGAAATTTTCATTTAAAATAATTTATTTTAAATTATTTAGCACCTCCTGCACTTTTGTGCAGCCCACACTGCAGGATAAACTTCCTGATGCAGCTGATCAGCTGTTTATCGTGCAGAGCTGAGAAGTAGGCGTGGCCAAGAGCGCTTGCAGGTGGAAAAGAGCAGAGGAGGCAGAGAGCTGAAATTAGGCCTGTCACCATAACAAATTTTGCTGGGCAATTAATTGTCTCAGAAATTATTGCAATAAACAATAATATTGTATGAAATTTGACAATTATTAGCAATCAATGTCAAATTTATGAAGAAATGTTGGTTAATTTGTTTTGTGTGTAGTACCTTTTTTCGACCACCGGATGGAAGTATAAGACCGTTTGAACCGAAGGATGGATAGTGAGGGAGTGAGCAGCGTGTCTCTTTAAGAAAAATGGGAGGGAGGTCCCTTGACGTGACATGGGCTGTCTCTCTTTCCTTTATTCGGTTCTCAAAATGGTGGATGCTCGGTGTGGTTTGAGCTCTTTAGCATAGCAATTGTCACACAAAGCTTTTAATAAAATAATCAGTAAACAAGTTCTCGGCTTCTTTTTGCAGAGAAAAACAACTTTTTACATAAAGGCACGAGTTTCAACCATGAATTTTGGAGTTTCGACAAGACGGAGGGAAGGGAGGAGTCAGTGAAGAGCACTAGAGTTGAGTCTTTTGTCATCCAGTGTCTTCAGTAGAAAGAGAGACACAAAGAGACAATAAAACCGATAAATGACAATGAGGTTGATAATTTTCATTTATCATGTGATTAATTGATTAATTGATTTGTTATTTATTGCGACAGGTCTAGCTGAAATCATGACATTCTGTGCTCTTTTAGAGCTTTTAGTTTAGAAACATTGTTTAGAATGTTACAAGAGTGTGGGAAGGGTTTAAAACACCTTTATATATTTTTTTTCTAGCAGTACAAGTAGTAAGTAGTAGTTATATATATATATATATATATATAT